CAGTCTCCACCATTCTGCAATGCTCCAAGCCTCTTTAAAGGGGCCCAGACAAGTAATCCTGAGGACTCGGTGCCCTACAGTCATATCAGTTTCAGGGAAGTCCTCTAATTCCCCTCCCTAAGGTCATTCCCATGTGACCACAGACCACAGAAGGGCTCTGTACCTTCTCCCTCCTCTCCCAGCCCCAGTGTCCCCAAGCCTGTCCCCCAGCCCACAGCTCACCTGCTACTCCGTGCCACTTCGGTCTCTCTTCACAGGCGTCACAGGCACATCCCCGTTGACACTCTCAGTCCCACCTACAGACATCAAACTTCTCCGCTCCTTCTGGTTGGACTTGTGCTCCACTTTTGTAACCCTAAACCTGAGGAGGGAAAGGGGAGATGTGATGGGCTTTGCTTCTCCAATAAGCATAAGGGATTATAGGTAAATAAAAAATCACCTCCTGGAGGACAGCAAATAAACTCAGCACAAAGGAAGAACAGCAACAAACACTCTCGGGGCAAGAGGGGTGCAGACCCCTGTGCAACCACCTCTGACAGTTTACTTACAGAGCATGTGAAAGCACATTAGAAAACACTTAGCGTGAGAGCTGTGGTTTCTAGCGGTGACATGGGCATTAGCCACAGAACCCTGGGGGACAGGAAAAGTGGTTTACAACGCAGATGGGCATAACCAAGATGGTCACAGCATAACCACCTCGAGTAAATACACACCTGCCAGGCAGAGGAGCCACTGGTGGCTCCACTAAGTTGTTTCTGCTTTTCAAAGCCAAATTTAAGTTAATTTTTACTCGAGAGTGATGAAAAAAAATTAAACAAGTTACAGAAGAGAATCTCATGGAGAAACATTAAGGCAGTCTACTGTCTGCTCTTCTAGAACAGCATCATCAAATCTGTCTTCAATAACATTTATATAGTTATGGTCCTAATCTTCTTTAAATGATCTAAAATAAAAATTTCCTCATTTGTCCAAAAGGAGGTCACAAGGAGGAGGCATCTGGGAAGTAGAGACTCTGTCCTGTCAAACTACAAGAGTCTTAAGCAAACACTCTGAAAACCAGCCTGTAATGATTAAATACCTATCACGTCCAGCAGTTAAGAGGGGGGTGGATTCTGAGTCCTGGGAAATGCAGTATGGACCTGAGCTGAGAATTCTCAGCACATTTTCAGAGAGTAAATAGAACATGTTTCGTCCAAATGGCCTCAGGCTCTCATACCCTGCAGTCATCAATACCCATGACTGTCCCTGCATTCATAATGCTCATGACTCTGTTCCTACAGTCATCAATGCCCATGACTCCTCCTCTTAAATGAAGGCAGACTGTTATTAAGTCAGGTCATGAGCTGTACTGCTCTACTGTGAGTGGCAAACAGTCCTCAGCCCTGTGGTTACTATAACACAGGACAAGACTTGACCAAATTAAAATTACAATAATAATTTCTAAAACTGCCAGTGTTTTTGAATGCTTGTGCCCAAAACTAGTCTAAAACCTTTACCTGAGTCCCCATTTTTACTTCTGACAGAAGCCCTGAGAGGTGGGTGTGAGTGCCTTCTCACTTTGTGCAGGGGGAACCTGAGGCACCCTGTGACATAATAGTCTATAAGTAGTGATGCCAGGACCTGATCAGGGTAGATGCAATGAGTCCAGGCAACTCTTCTAGAGGTCTGTCCTAACTTAAACTCAGCACTTACCTTGCCTGACTCCTGCATGGGTGACCTTTTCCCCTGTGACACATTCCTAGGCAATGCACTTCGTATAAGCTCTCAAACTGCATGTGTCCCCTGCAAGTCTGCTCATGTCAAGTCTCACTAAAATGACAATCAAACAGCAGGATCTTCACATGCCATGTGGGTTACAAGGAAATGATGCTTTGGAACTGAGGTCCCCAGGACACAGCAGAGGTGACCTCAAAGAAAGCAGTTACTGCTACTGGTGTGGATCTAAGGTGGCAGAGACTGGAAAGTTCTGGTCCAAATCGGTCTCTATTCTTGATGCATGGCAGCATGACATTTCCTGATTGCCTGGCACTCTGGTGAAGACAAGTGACCAAGTAGAGCCAGTGGATGGGAGTCAGATGATACATATCACCCTCAGGCTGGTTTCACTAAGAACCCCCTCACAATGTCTGCCACAACTCTCTCTGTTCACAGACCTGCAGAGTCATGAGTGGAAGGGGCCCAGGGCTCTGGACAGCTGACAAGCCACACACTGACCTGATCACCTGTTTTAGATTCTCACAAGAGAAACAGAAACACATGTTCTGGACACAGTTGACAGTCTGGGCTCCAGCTATTACAAAGAATAATTAATCACTCAACTTAATTAATATTTGTTCTATAGGAGCTCTCAATAGCTGTCTGGTCTGTCAGAAACATCCAGGATTCAGACCAGGGCACGTCTAAGAAGCCAAGCTCATGAGAACTTATGCTCAAATGAAAAGCTAAATATAAGCCTGTAATCATAGCAACCACGTCCCACACGAGCAGCATCAGGACACCTTACCTGCCGACAGAGAGGACAGTGACCTCCCCGTGACGCCGTGGCCGGGCTTCTTTGGACTTGTTGGTAGGTCTTATGAAGTGCCATCGCTTATGCCTACAGCGTTGGCACACATCCCGTTCAACGACACCTCCCACTGTGTGCAGATGGTGGCCACAGACATGCTTCCCCGGGGTGCCTCCTGGTGACAAGGGCCCAGGACTCACAGGTGGGCTCCCTGGGGTGCTAGGGGTCACAGGGCTAAAGGCAGGGAAGAAAAAGAGAAGGAAAAGGGTAAAAATGGCTACTTCGAAGAAATGCCAGTGAAGGCAGCTTTCCCCGTGATGCAGGAAGGTTTAAGCTCACAATCCCTTCAATTGTACTCATGAACTCTGTGAACTGGCCCTGGGCAGCAGCACTCAGCTCTCATGCAACAACTGTTCACTCCGAACAATGAAGCGGATGGGCTAGGGAGTAAGCCACTGTTTCCAAGGATAACACACAATTTGACTTCACAATACTATATTCTTTTCCAAAATCCCCATCCTCCTTCCCATGCAATCACAGATTTCTCACACGCAGCCAATCATCTGCCTAGAACACCAAGCAAGACACCCTGAATGTGCCAAGGGGGAAAAAACCCCACAATTATCAGAAGACTTAAGATCGTCAGAATATAACATCCAATCTGTCTATTACATCAGAGGAAAAACTTCTAGGTTAAGACATAGAAAGTGGCACTCAAAATAGATGCTGATGTGGTTGACAATAAGA